CATATTCTGTTAGCTTTTCCGAAGAAGAAACCATGGAAGGGAATGGTCGATAGTTTTCAATTCGATTAGATCGAGTTTTACCGCCATTGCACGTTTGTCTAGTCTCGACAGTGCCGTAGCTATGCATAATCCGAGTACCAAGTGCAATTGAGATAATATATAACAGTCTATGAAAAAACCGAGTTGCATTAGAGGTATATTGAGTTCATCTTTTGAACAGAGTAACCTCAGGTCTCTCCTTTATATATGCAGCCGTGACTCGGTGAACTAGTAGCATGTTGAGAAAGACTCGAGTGAATTCGGAAAAAGCGGTTTCAGAAGTGCAACTTATAAAATAATAAAAAGTATGGAATTTGTGGGACACTTTATATATAATGGTATATGAAAGATAATGAAATGAAAAGACTTCGTATTAACGTTTAAAGCATTTGGTAGTAACATTCATATAATTAACAACATCGATATAAACGTTACATCTTCGATTCCTATAAACGAGTTTTCGATAAACGAGAAAATAATAAGTTTAACAAAGCAAGAACAATTACAACTATCGTAAAACTTGTTATAATAACATATTTTTGGAATTTTATTTGTGTTATGAAAATTTAACATTCTTAATATTTATAAGAATTTATATATATAATATTGAGATAAATATTTTAATAAGTAAAAGGATTTCTTATCAAAGAAAGTGATTTTATGATAAGAAATTGTGCGATTAAGGTTCTTATTTGTATGTATAGCTATATACCTTCTTAGGTATATAATATTACACTTTGATATTTCATTATGAATGAAAATATCAAATTGTTAAAAATATTTCGTCATAGATAATTAATCTTACTCGATGTATTTACATTCACAGAATACATATCGTAATTCGCATAGTTGATTAAATACAAATTAGCAAATTAATAGAAAGGAATTGCAAGCAGTGTACATATATTTATTCGTTAATAATTATTTCGAGATATATCTTGTTAATTAATATTTTTCTTCAATGTACATAAAATATGTTTCCTAAAAGTGCCTGAAGTTCGTCATAAATGGAAAATTTTCTATTAAAAAATAGATAAAATTTTAACTACTGCAAATCACATTCTATTACAATCACAATAAATCTCTTTGTTCATGTACAAGGAATAATTTATAAAATAACATTAGCTCCTATACAAACATTTAAAAGCACTTCAGTAAATATCTTTTATATCTAAGGTAGATTGCGGAATGTTTCGAAATTAAAATAATTCTTAAAAATAAGCTTTTAAATAAACTGATAACATGTATAAGTGCTCTCCTAAGCCGAAAAAATTATTAACATTAATTATCGTAGCCCGAGACACTTGTATTCTTTATTAGTGATTCTAATTTTGCTTTGATATTATTTTTTTTACCATTATATTATCCGATTAAACTCATACTAATGACATAGTAAATAAAGTAAATAGGAAGCTATCTCGTATCGAGTACACGTGTATTGTGAGAATATGAGTATTTCCAGTAATTATACGTACGTTTAGTATTACCAATTTGCTAAATATTATATATCGTGTCTCAAGTATATTTAGTCATCATTTTTATATAAGATACAATCCTGGGTATTTTAGGTAAGAATGACGATTCTGTAGAAGAATAAATTAGTTCAATTTGTATAGATATGCTGTACCTCCTATTAATCAATTGCTATCCCAATTAAAATTTTATCGTCATTTTTACAAAAATTTTCTATAAATTTTCTATAAACTGATATTAGCGATCTGTGTGTCAATGATTATGAAACGATCATAAATTCTTGTATTCCATTTCGAAATATAAAAAATTTCATACTTAAAATATATTATAATGTGAATAATTAATTACGGAAAGCTACGAAAGCTGCATTCATTATAAAATTTCTTACTATTTTTCCAAAACTGTACAGTTTTATTTCATTGTAATATAAATTGATATAACTCAAAGTAAGTGATAAAATCATTTCATTCAGATTATCGACTTACAATTAGATCACTTTCATAATTATTGGCACAATTATTAATGTCGAATTTTTATAAAATTTAATTTAACTAATTTAGTATTATAATACTTGGAATGCATGGAAAATAATAATACATAGAAATGCATGGAGAATAATCAAATTTCGAGAGAGATATCGCGAAATATTCTCCTCTTAAACGCTTGTAGAAAAATCAGCACAAGCTCAACCCTTATCGATGAGAACGTGACGTCGATGTCGATAAAAGTCCTCGTGTTGTGCATTTTGCAATACATGTAGTACGTGTGTACACGCGAATACATAAAGAAGGGGATCAGTAGTCCATGACCTAGACCTTTCTCAATGGATCTCAAGCTAAGGGGCGGCAAGGGGAAGGATTTCATATCTCGGAAAAGTTTTCTGTTGTTTCGGAAAGTTAAAAGCGGAGCATCGTAGTTTTGAAGAAAGCAAGATATATAGAGATGACACAACAATGGATCGAGATATTTCGTGCATATATCTTACATAGATACAAAGATTCTTAATTTAGGAAACGCAGGTTTGAAATGAAAGATATAATACGAGCAATATTTTCTTTTTCACGTTTCTTTAAAGAGATGAAATTTTTTGTATTTGTGTTTAGCCATCCTTGGTTTATTTGTGAAAATAATTTATTTCAAGAAATAATTCATTTATCTCAAATTAAAATAATTAGCTTAGAAAACTTATTCATATAATATAGTTAAGTAATTTATTTTAAATCAAAATAAAATTTAAACAAATTTATGCAAGTATATAATACCACCTTCCTCAAAATTTGAAATTGAAAAATATATTTTTAATTATAATCATAGATCCAAAATAGATAAAAACGCAGTTTCACATAATATTAAATTTCAAGATCCAGAAATATTTCATAAAGTCAATTTTCTAAAAATATCAGTTTTCCCAGCAATGCAATTATGTACCTTTCTCATCTTATCGAGATACACTATCACCTATGGGAATTTGAAAATCGATATAGTATCAAATGTAACATCATACATTTTATACGAGATACAAAATAAAATGCAATAAAAATTTTCAAACAATTTTGATGCAAAGTTCATGGGCATCGTATGCTTTAGATAATCAAAATAGTAGTGGCAAGTATAGCGAAACAGCTGACCAATTACTCAATTATTCTGTTCCACTTTCTTTTATATCATGATATGCTAATTAAACAAAATATTACAGAAATTTATCGAAACAAATTATAAATTTAATGTGAGGTTAAAAAAAGGGAAAATGTTTCGTGCCTGAAAAATTGATTCTTTCTCTCATAAAATTTGTTTCGTTTAATGACAGCTGACATTCGAAGGAAGGAGGAAAATTAATTTTGCGTGTTAGGAGTTACATTAAAAAATAAATAGCATGCAAAACAGTAGATCGATGAATAGTATCAAATTCCATAAATGTGGTACTCGTATCTTTTCTACAATATTGTATATATAACGTGTATTCGAATGAACATAATATTACTACAACGTATTTCATACAAAGGCGTATTTTTTTTTTAAATGTTATGAACTTCGTAAAAAGTGAAAAATTTTTCATTAGAAAATATATACACATATTATTCTAAATGTTAATTGCATAACTGTTTAATTATAATTACGAGAGGATCTTCGACGCGTAATGGTTTTATTACTTTCAGTCTGTACATGAACAGGAACTTGTTAACAAGGTTTCTGAAAAGAGAAAAAAAAGTACTAACAATATTTTACATTCCTAGATAATATAATAGCGAAAGTACTTTCAAAAACAATTTGTTGTTATGGCAGTTCCTTCAGTTTAAAAATCAATCATTTTTGTAATATAACAGAGTTCTTTTATTAAAGTGAGAGTAAAACATAACCTATACATTAATTATTTATGTGTAGGTTACACCTAATATAATAATATTTAACACTGTGTCAGTATTTATGCTATTAATAGCACAAAGTCAATTTTATTTTTAAATTAACTGAGTTTTCTATTAAAGTGAGAATAAAACATGATTAATTCTTAATATAGAAATTTGTTAATAAACAACATCTAACGCAATGTCAGTATTTATGCTATTAACAGTCTTTTTAAACAAGAACCTTTGGAGATGTTTATGGATCTTTGTATGTGAAAAATGTGAAATTAAAAATAGAAACGCCACAGTCCAAGAGTTTAATCGTTTAAATAGTGTGTCTTTACTAAAAGTATTAAAAGTTTTCGAATTTCTTAGATAAATAAGATTAATAGGAGGCGTTAAACGAATATTTGTTTCAAATATCCTCTTGCCACAAATCCTCTTCAAATTAAATACCACAAATTTAAAAATTGGAATTTAATACTTAACAATTGTATCTTGTTCTTTAAATGCAAGAAACAAAACTATAGTACTCTTTTAAATATAGATGTTTTAATTTTTGAAGCTACAAAAGTGACATTTTCTTCTGGAAAGCCTAGAATCTTATCATCGTCACATTTCCTATCATGTTTGAAACTAAGTTTGGAAGATGCTTGTCTATTTTAGGCTTTGAGTACATGATTCAATCCATCGAATAGCTTAGAATTCATCGAGGAAAAACTCTGATTCGAAAAAATTCTAGAAACGTTCAGTCTTCTTAGTAAGTTTTTAAACAGAACATTACGTTTCAAATATATAATATTAAGTCCATATCGTGTTACATTTTCCCTCATATTAAACAATATTCATATTAAATATTCGTATTAAACATTAAAATATGAAAATAGAAACATTGATTCCATTTTTAGATATTTTTTAACACGTTCACTGTTTAAATTTAATAATCAAGACGTATTTTTACAGATATATTACATAAATTTCCCTGTCCTTTTGAATGAAAGAGTGAAATTAAAAATATCCAAATTTTTAACAACTTATATATAAAAATTCGTTCATTTTCATAAGGCAAGTGTGTAATGTAAAATTTAGCAATACAGAAATCAAAATTACACATGAAAACGATCTAGTATTAAAGATTTTGTGGGCAGTGAACGCGTCAAGGCACTTTATGTATTAGATCGCATAGCTGCAGGATTATTCTTTAAAACTCATATACAATAGCTGCAAGGCTTTTTAAATTACTGCCAGCAGACTATAAAACACCCAGCAAACACCGATCAACATGTCATGGCAATAGTCCTACATCGATCGTAAGAAATTCACGAAAATCTCGCTATCTCTGATTCAGTCTGATTCATAGAAAATAATTCTGCAGCAAGGTAGGTTACTCTCACACTTGTCACACATTTATGTAATCGATTCACTCATCATCGATTTATATTTGCACCTAAATTAATGCGAATTTTCCTTCGCGTTTTCACCTTGATTCAGCTTCTCTTTCTCATCTCTATCGCTCAATTGATTCAACGTAACATCATAGGTCACGCTGGCTTTTCCATCCGAGCCCATACACGTAGTGAAGCACGTGTCGTGCTTGCCAAAGTTCTCACCATCTTCGATGGTCTCTGGCATCGGCTGGTTCACGGTTTCTGGTAGATACAGCGACAGAAAACCAGACACCAGAGCGACGAAACCGAACAGCACCGCTGGCACTTTGGGATTCAAAGAGTCCAACAGCATTATCGCGGGGGTCATAGCTCCACTGAGACGCGCGCACATCGAACCGATCCCCAACGCGGTATTTCTGACCACCGTGGGGAACAGTTCGGCAGTGTAGTTGTAGATGACAGCGAACGAACCAGCTATGCAGGCCTTGCCGAACAGGACGATCGTGACGATCGCGGCAGCTGCTGCATCGGTGTCTGAGGGAATGCTGGAAGCGATTATGCAGCATACGCCACCTATCAGCATAAATGTGCTGACCATACATCTTCTTCCGGTACGATCCATGAGGAAGCACATGAGAATATAGGACGGTAGCTCGACGAGGCCACTGAGGAAGAGCATGACAAACGGATTGCCGACCAGGTTACCAGCGTTCAACGATAGTCCATAATAGACGATGGAGTTGGCAAACCAATTGAGACACACGTTCAGACTCTTCTTACGAAGATTGGGTGTTTTAAAGAGATCCAGGGCTCCGTAAGAGCGTTCCTCTTGATCGACGTGCCGTATCTTCCCTTCGCTGATTAGCTTCGCGGTGTCTATGTCTACGTTGTTCCCGTTCATCTTTAGACCTTTTCGTACGATAGCTAAAGCCTCGCTGACGCGGCCTTGAGCCCACAACCACCTTGGGGACTCGTCCATGAGCCACCAGTGGCCTACCAGCAACGCACTGTGAAGTCCGTAGATGATCTGCAGCCACATTCGATCTTTGATCACGGCACCCCAAACGGCTACCAGCATGAACCCAACAGCGAACGCCAATTGGAACATCACTCCGCAGATGGTCCTCTTCGTTGCGCCAACCAGTTCCATCGTGAGGACGAACCCTGTTATGTAGGCCCCGGCTGAGCCGAAGATCCCGTAGAGGAATCTTAGGATGAGGAATACGTAATAGTTGTTGACCAAGGCTACCGTCACTCCCAGGATCAGTTGAGCGACAGCGGATATGTAGAATATTATCTTTCTCCCGTACTTGTCAGCCAAACTGCCCAACGTTACCGCTCCAATAAACACGCCAAACATGTAGGAGGACTGTGCCGCTGCACCCATCCATCGTTGTGAGCAAACAAAATTCCATTCCATTCCTCGCGACGATTGGAAGTATTGCATGTCATAGGTCCAGGATTCGCATTGTTTCACTACTTCATTCACATCCATGTAGTGACACGTATCAATGACGCGAGGAAGGTCGTCGAGGCCATCGGACGAGTTCCATTTGGAGGACGTGAAGTTGGTTGGATTGATGACCGTCAACGTGGATTCGGGGATGTTGCATTTGTGTGGCGGCACCGCTGCTACTGTCAGCAGTGTCAGCATGTGCAAACCAGCTGTCAACGCGCCCAGAATGTGTAGCGAAAATTGCCAACCCTGGTATTTGCCAAATTCCCCGAGATGAGCCATCAACTCCTCGAGATTTCTGTCGACGCTCGCCATGTTTCGCGTTCAGCCTTGAAAAACTTGTTTCTCCAGTTGTTTTCCTGCTTTTTAACAGCGTCTTGATAACTGACAGCGCTCTTGACACGATTCTTGGTAATTCAGATTGTAAGCACTCTCTGTTTTTCCTCCTTGATGTTAATCAGTTCTTAAGTGTGTCCCCTCTTCTAGCTTTCGAGGATCATTTTCGATGTGTTTAAGTGTGACGTTGATCAATGATATTTGGTTTTACTTGCTTTTGGACGGATTTGTTTCTGCTTATTTTCGACGATGGAGAGTGTCTCACTGCTTCACGGATTCCTTCGTCGCGAGTTCGTTAGATCAGCTGATGAGACGAGTCGACGGAGTCGAAAGTAGCGTAATCGCGTGGACGTATGAACTGCACTGTTCTATTGCTCACGGAGAACTGGGTAACTGACTGCAACTGCCAACTTGAACAGCGGCTGAACGGATTCCTCGTGTCCGGAGAATGCGTTGGACTTATTTTTTTATGAAATTCACAGTTGTCCTTGTACAGTTACTGACTGTTTTCCTTCTTAGACGTTTCACTTCGTGTTTGTTCTGGGAAAGTTATCTGTCTTTATTGAGGATCGAAATAGTCTGGAAATAAAGGCAAAATATATATAATTACAAACTTTGGAAGGTACAATTGAAAATTTGATATTATTTCATTATCATTTGATAACTGTTTTAAAAACGTTAGTAATGTTAGAGAATATATATTTTGGAAATAAACAAAAAACAAATATAATTATTCTATTTGATGTATACTTTTTATCGTTCATGTTCAATGATGATTTTATTTCATAATTGTTTTAGAAAGTTTGTAATATTGGGGTGTAGTAGTTCTTAAAATAAATACAAAATAAATATAGTTATTGCTTGTGAAAGGCACTAGTAAAATTTTAATTTTATATTATCTGATAATTGATTTAGGAAACAAATAATATCGAAGATTGAAAATTCATAAAATAAAAAGTTAATATAATTTTATATTTGAAATGTACCTTTGAAGATCTAATATAATTTTGTCTCATAGTTTTCTTAGTAATGAGTAATATCGCTATAGTCATTATAAAATAAACATAATTATGTAGGTATCCCAAAAGTAAATAAAAAATAGGTATAATCCTCACGTTTGAAGTTTATTCCTGATGATCTAATATGATTTTGTCTTATAATTATTCTAATACGTTGTTATGATCCTGTTTTACAACTATTTTTAAAAATTTGTAATATTAGATTATATGTTTTCTTAAAATAAATGTAAGATAAATAATACAATTGTAATGCTTGAAATGTATCTCTGAAAATCTAATGCACTTTCGTTTCATAGTTACTTTCGAAATTAAATGTTTAAGGAAATTCATTCTTACTAAGTGTAACCAGAATGAAATTGCGCATGGCAGTAAAACAAATTACCAGCATATTCAATTATAAGTATGCAACTTTCGTGTGAAACTATGTTAGAAAGTTAATAGGGAACTAACTAGTATGAATAGTACTCCTTTTACGCATTTCTTTTCATTTGATATATCTTTTTTATTCGAATAGTTGAAACTTTATGCATCGAATGCGAGTTTTGATCCACTTAGATATATTAAGTTTCAAAGACTGGATAAAATTAACTTTACTAAAGTAGGTGAACTTCAATTGATTGAAATGTGAAAGTAAACACCGAGATGCATTCCAGCAATAAAAATATTTACATGATCTATCATGATCTATAACACAGTAAAAATGTTATGTGCTATTCTCGTTTAGTATCATTTTCTGCAAAAATAATCTAAGAACCAAAATTCCTTTTAGACTTTATAAAAAGAATATTACAGTCTCATAAAACATACACTTATAATATTGTAAATGCAATTTAATTATAGCAATAATATCGAGGTTTTAGTAGCATTTAAACATTCACAAGTATTCTGTATCAATAATTATTTTTAAATTATATATAATTAATAAAACAAGTTTATAGTTAGTTACATATAATTATTTAAATATGTTTCAGAAGTGTTATTTAGTAATAACTGTTTTTAAATGACATATTATGGTACGTATTTTTCCTTATGAAATAGAAAAGATACGAAATTAATAGGTTATATTGAACAGAATTATATACTAGCAACTTGTTAATTTACTATTGGTATTCGTAATTCAAATTTGCAATTTATTAATGAAAGATATATTTACACTGAATAAAACTGTGAATTCAAAATATCTTTTCGAGGTAATCACGTGTCACACAGACACAATTGGATGTCCGAACAAGACAATGCAATCTAGACGCGTGGTCTAAGACAATACACGCACTTTGCCGGAAATAGTCAAGTGTAGATTATTAACAAATTGTTTGGTTAAATACCTTATTTAATCGAGGATATTAACCTCCTTTTCCATTATTTTATCAAGGAAAATTCATATGTTCGCGAAACGAATTTAATTTCTCAAAATAATTAACTTCGTTTAATGTCATTTTATTTATCGATGCTAATTGTATGTAATTTAGATAGCACACATATTAAAAACTCTTATCTGTCTAATATAATTCTGAAATCAAAATCCTTTAACTAAAATTAATACGAATACACAATATTTAATTTGTATCCTACGATATACCATTTCCATATATTTTTGGTAAAATTTTAAAGAATTATTAGTATTATAAATTTTCTTCTTAATCCAACAAAAATGAAACCAATGTGTCATGTATTCTTTTTATTCGTATGAAACACCAATTTGTTTTCACTAGATTTATGAAATATTATTCAGAAAGGAAAATACACCGAATATTTTAACACCACTGACAATTTTACCAAAACTTATACAAAATAATTCGAGTCACTGGTTACGTTCAATACGATACAGAAATTTCTCATTGTGACACATAAAAAATTTGACGATAAAACATTTATTAATCAAACTGGTTCATCGATTTCAAAATTCATCGGTATTTAAATTTATCTTGGTGAAATCAAATTTCCTCTATGTCCTGATCCACGTTATCTAAATCGAACGTCCAGGATACTGAGATAGATATTATCTAAATCGAATCTCTGTTAAATCAAACAAATTCGTCATATTACGTGTTCTATTTTCAATTACGTACTGTTTTATCCACTAGTCTTTCGTGTCTATCCTCGATCGAAACACTACACTGCAAAATAAATTCTAAAACCATTCGCAGCACGTGCAGTATGAAACTGGAAGTGGAGTCACGTTATAATCTTGACAGTTTGTATGTTCAGTGCCTTATCGCTAGTACAGCGCATGGGTATCGTTGATTTCCGCGGCCATAAGTCGCGAGGTTAATTATCCTATAGTTTCGAAAGAGTTTTCATAATTCGGTAGCTTTTTTCTCCCTAGATAAACTTCAACACATTTATGTTGCGACTATTCATGCGTATCGATATATATTAGAATTTACACGGCCTTGCTTTCTATCATGGCAACGACCTTTTCTTTGCAATCAAAGGATTGGTATTAATATAAGGTATTCTGCAAGTAATCGTGTATTTCAAGTAATTAGTAATACTTGATTCAGCAGTGGATTATTCAATGTAATTAATGTAGCGAGTAATTTATTATTTCAGGTAATTAGAAATATCTAATTTTGTAATTAGTTAAGTACTATATTATTCGATTCAGTAATTAGACAAGCATCTATTATAATTAGTGATATTTAATTTTAATAATTAACTAATTGAGCATTTAAAATAATTAGTAGTATTCGACCGAGGAATTAATTAAAAATTTAATGCCATTAGTAGTAATGAGTTAGACAACATTTAAAAAATATTTGGAATTTACGAAAGACTATTGTAAGATGGAAATTGTGCATTGAAACATAATTTAGCTTTTAATAAATTAATAGGTACTACAGTATGAATTATAGTAAAATATTAAAAATTTACTAAATCGTAGTAAACTATTAGGCTCTATATGTCGATTATTAATTGCTATACAGATTACAAAAAGATCTGCAATGCATTCATTGTTATATTTGAATTTACATCTTATAAATTACTTCAGTCATTGTAAATCATGAATAATTGGATCCTTACAATTTTTTTTATTAAATTCCATTAGGAACTTTTCTCACATTTTATTCAGAATAGATAATCTTATTCGAATTTAAAAATCAAATCGTCGTCCTAAATATGTAGAATTAAAAGACCCGTGCCATTGAATATTAATAGTATTCACATTGAAATGAATAATGACGCTAAAGCATTGTTCCCATTTTTCAAAAAAGATGATATTATCACGAGTTACGTTCGTGTGAAGAATTTGAACAGAAGAAAGAGTTTCTGTTCCAAATGTTGTTACCTTTAATTCGTGTTATGTGTACACGTTTCCTCGTGCATAAAATTTAATGAACCGATATGGTACAGACGTTAATTCATCGATGTCAATTAAAAATACTCGAGTTCCGTTCAGTTCAGATCGAATTCACCAGGTCGCAGTTAACTGAACCGTATTCCGATATTAACTATTTTTACTATATCGTGGTGTTTGAAACTATTATCATTGAACTACATAAATCATTTTAATTCATCCTGGAAGAGCACAAAGGTTATACGTTTAATCTTCCTGAATTAGTTATTTTTAACATTTTGTTCGTACAAAGTCGTGCCAATATAAATTTTTGCAGAGTATCGCTGTAATAATAATATTAATTGTATTATCATATTACTGTTATTATTAATATTAATACTATTTTGCTATAAGTATAATAATAATTATAATCCCAATAATATCTATAATATTAATTATATTGTACATATAATAATAATAATAATAATAAATATAATAATAGTAATAATTTCACTTTAATATTAATGACAAGAATAATAATAATTTTACTATAATGCTATAATGGAAAAGAGTACTGCAATAATAGTAATGACACTAATAATAGTTTTACTATAATAATAATAATAACAATAATAATAATAATAATAATAATAATAAGAGAATCCCTTGATACAGATACATGTGGAAATATTATCAATGCAAAGAAACAATGGGCCATATTATAATAGCAGACTAGACATTTTTTAGCTGAACAGATTATAGAAACAAACATAATGGCGAAGATCATACAATACAGACGTGCATCACACATGTGTATGTATAATTCATATTCGTGAAAAGTACTTGATAATAATAGCTAAAAATAATATCAGGCCAAAGCGTTACATAGAGATAAAAGCTTACGTGCAGCAGACTAGACTCACATCCGTTAGTAAAAAAAGAAAGCTTAATCGTATTGTAATACTGAATAGCACAAGTGTGACACAAAAGTAACAGGAAAAGGAAAACAACGAAATATATACCACTGATGATAGAAATAGAACAGTTTTGGAAATAAGAAATAGTACAAATGGCATCTGTAATTTAACATTATAACAAACAGCTTTGTAGAATATATTGAAATAAAAGGTCTAAACAACTATATTTAAAAAAACGTATAAAAAGTATTAATGATAGAAACAATGGCAATATTCAAGAAAACATTACTATACTCTGTAATAATAAAAAGATACGTGACTTGGTAAATAAATGTTTCTTACATGATTTCTGAATCGTATAGAATG